ACAAGCTTAGCTCGGAGTTGAAAATTGTTGAAGCTGGGTGTTGAGTATATGATTCATCAAATTTGTATTAAAAAGGTAAGAAAAATAATATTTTGATAATAAGATACCAGTTTTCAGGCACCTGATTAGCAAACACTTTAAAATCTGATATTCTAAGTGTTAATATAAAAAAGTGGGAACTCGTACACAAATGGTAGGAACATAAATTGGCACAACCAATTTGGAAGAAAATTTGATATCTTCTACCATAACTGAAGATGTGTATTCTTTATTACCCAGTTGTTCCCCATCTAGGCTAAATCTTAGAAAATCTTACTCATGGAAATACGTACAAAAATGTTCAGAGGCTTATTTTTATAGCAAAAAAAAAAAACTAGAAACTACCAAATGTTCATTTGTAAATAATGGCATGTTTACATAGTGCAACGAAAGTGAATTTACTGGAGTTACATGCCTCAACATGGGTAAATCTTATATGGCAAACCAAAAAGAAGAATTTATGTAAAGTATAAAACCATGTGAAAGTAAATATATTGACAGGGATGCATACATATGCAATAAATTTTAAGACAAAAACCTAAGAATGATTTCAAAATTCAGTAGTTACTTCCAGTGAGATGAGGGAGGAGAATAATTAAGGGCACAAAGGGAGCACCTTTGGGATTATAAGGTTTTGCTTCTTTGCTGGGTGATAGGTACATGAGCGTACATTATAGTGTGCTTTAGTCCTTTTGTATGTAATAAAATAATTCATAGTTGAAAATATAAAATTTTTTCACAATATATAAAAATATTGACGTGTACCTGAAATATACAATGTTATATACCAATTTAAATTTAAATGTATCTCAATTTAAATTTACCTATGTATTAATTTTTTTCAGTAAAAGGAAGGGACATGGTAGAAGTGGGAGAAGAGGCACAAAAGTACACGTATTGGAGGAACAAGAAATTATTTCGGTTTAACAACAAACTGACTGAGCACAGATGAATGAAATCTTGCCTGTCCTACAAGATACATAGGCACCTGCCAAAAGGAAAATGCTGATTCCCCTCAATGCAAAGGTAAAGCATGAGTTCTAGCCAGACCTCTGATGAGGCCTCCGTATGTCAAAGCATTTACCTGGGCTTTTGATCCCAGGTAAAAGGTCAGAGCTTTCCTTTTCTTCACCCCACCTGCTCCCTGCCCTCTCCTGTCTATTCAGAATGCTTTCTAGGTTTGGTCTTTAGTGGCACACATGCAGTAAAAATAAATACAGTACAGTGCTCAGTGCATCTTTCATATAGCTTTCTGAAGTGAATGATGTCACTGAGAAAGAATGGCAGCAGTGTGAATGTGAAGAACTTGGTACCTGTGGCTTTCTCCTGACATCTGTTCCAGGGCTTCCCCAGGCAAATGGAAAAACCATTCACTCTGAGGCATGCTTATTCACTCTAGGCTTCTAGCTCATTCATTAGGTGAGTCACCTTTTCAGGAGGCGTGCATCTCTACACCAGTGCCTGATCCCAGGGGAAGACGGCATGGGGATGTGTCAGACTCATGTCCAATTAGGCAAGAGGCAAAACATTGGTAGTCATCTTGGTATCAGCACCTCCTCCTACTACTTCCAGTTTCTGGCTTCCCCATGTCCTTCCTGGGGGAGTCCCCAGCTTCTCCAGGGTCTTCTTGGGGGAGTCCCCAGCTTTCCCAGGGCCTTCCTAGGGAGCCCACAGTAAGGGAAGCCCGCTGGGCAATCTGATCCCAGGAACATATACAAAGTGCTGCCAACTCTGGTTCCTTAGGCCTCGTTACACCTGCTGGATCCAAGGCCTGGGCTCTCTAACTGGATTTCCAGATTTCTGCCAATTTTCTGGGTCCTATGGTGATCAGCCGAGGTTCTGCAGATCTGAAAGGCCAAACAGAATCACGGGTCTTGTCATCTTCTCCAAATCCAGCATCTCTGTACCTTTTAATCTATTTTACTTCCAAACCCACTGTAATATAATGCCCTCCCCTGGATACACTTATCAGAGGCAATTCTGCTCTACTGTTTTGCACCGCTTTGCCTTACTAAACCAGTGTCCCTCCTGGTATTTTCCCAGCTCTTGGTGGATATCTCTAACCTGACCTCAGTGAGAAAAACTCATATTGTGAATACTAATCATGATAATGGCAGACTTGACACGTGTCAGGCCCTGCTCTGATCGTTTACTTAATGTATGTACTTACCGAGGGATATGGTATCAGTCTCAACTTCCCAGTGTGGAAACCCAGGCACAGAGGGGTTAAGTAATTGCCTAGGACACACACAGTACTTTACAAAGGTTGTGTTTTGAACTACTGGGTTACAGGGGCTGTCTCCTGAATGCCCAAGCAGATCAGATGCTGACCCCCTCCCCTACCCCTCCTTGCATAGCTTACAGCGCAGGACGGCATCCTTGACTTGGCGGAAGCCGTGGTCCGGGCCCCGGCCGTCCACGAAGTACATGAAGCGGAGCTCTGCGGGGTAGGCGGCCCTGGCCAGGCCTGAGAGCAAAGGGATGGTGCAGCCCTCTGCACCCGGGGCCTGGCTCAGGGCCTGCAGCATCTGATACCTGCACCACGGGTCACTCAAGAAGCCGGGCGTGATAAGCAGCACGCGGCAGTGGCTACTGTCTAGTGCCCTGCACAGCTCGGACACGATGGCGCCGCCTGGGGCCGCATCGCGAAGCTGCAGGAAGCAGCGCAGGCCCGCAGAGCTGCCCTCTAGGTAGGCGACCAGCTCCTGCGCAGCCGCCAGGTCCTCCTCGCTGTGGCACACGCACACATCGTAATCCCTCCTCCAGCGGCCGCTGCTGTTATTGCTGGTGGCGCCCTCATAGGAGGGGGGCAGCTCAGGAGACACCGCCGACGTGGCCGAGCTGAGGCTCGGGGGTGAGTGGACTTCCGGCGAACTCGGCTGCGGCGCGTCACTGGGGGTGCTTTCCTGGGAAACAGGCTTCTCCTTGGGCTTCTTCGACAGGGCCTGCCTGAGCCAGTCTGCGGGAGAAACTCTGCTCAGGGCTGAATTCTCACCAGGTCGCCTCCTTCCAGTAGCACAGAGGAGGGGACAGGGTCGCGGAATCCTGCCCACTTTTCTGCACAGGCCAACACCACCTGATTCTCAGATCTACTGCCCAGTTATTCTGCACATCTCTTAGGATTTGCCCAAAGTTTCCACTATCTTTAAAGGTTTTGGGAAGTCATAAAAACTCTGGCTGTTTTATAAGTCCTGGGGTGTAAAGAACAGCAAGCAATTATAATTAATATTCTATTGCATATTTGAAAGTTGCTAAGGGAATCGCTCTTAAAAGTTCTCATTACAAGAAAAAAAAATTCTCTATGTAGGGTAATGGATGTTAACTAAACCTATGGTGATCATTTTGCAATACAATGTTGTATGTCAAGTACACCTCAATTTTTTAAAAAGCTTTGGTGTGACAAAAATATGAAAGCAACAATAACAAAAAACTCTTTTACCGGCTTGATTGAGAAAGATGGCCCTTGGATTTCTGGCACTCCAGCCTACCCTAACCAGAATTTCTGCTAGAGTTGACTAGTCAACCAAAGTGGGTTCAGTTGCCAAACCCACTTCCAGCACTGAGGTGAGGTGACTTTGGCTTAAGGCAAGCTACCATTATGGGAGGGACTGGCATCTGTTTGACCCTGAGAAATCCTAGATTGTTGCTAAATGGGTAAAAAGAAAGTATGGAAGAGGGCTATTGCTCAGAGTACCCGGAGAACATAAAGCTTAGTGATTCAGGGCTTATACTTTGGAGTCAGACAAAAACCTGATTGTGGACCTGCTATTGGCTTTCTGTTTGACCTTAAGCAAGTAAGTCTTTCCATCTCCTCATCTGTAAAGTGGGTTCATTTTAGTTGCTGTTGATTCACTGAGATAATGCAGTGTCTAGTATATTGTCAGTACTCCATAACGATTTTAACTCAGCCTCCCCAGCTTTTGGTAGTGGTGTTCTGGAGATTTGTTTTCTCTCTCTGCCTGGCTGCTGCTTCTGAATGGTTCTGGAAGATTTAGATGGTAAGAGACACAATGTTAACCACTTAGCACCATGGTTTCCAGGCTAGGAAAATTAACTGACATTGCCTGGAAAATATGTGGGCCAGAAGAACTGAAGGTTCCACTGATGCACACTTCCTCTCTTCACACACCACAAAGCATCTAGACACTGAGGCCAAGTCAGGACTCCCGCTCCCATCCCCCCCACCCCCACTTCCCCCACTGTCAGCCTCTTTGCCTCTCTCCCCTGTGTTTGGGCCAGGCAGGCCTTCCACTTTGCCAATAGGAATATAAGGACTACACTCACAGGAGCAAGAGTAGCATTAAGAGTCTGCTTCAACTCACCAGCCATCTTGCCCAGAGGCTTCTTAGACCGGGAACCAGGAGCTGGGAAGGAGGTGGATGATGCCATAGTTTTGGACTCACAACTAACCCCATGAGACCAGGCATTGGTAAGGCGGGAGAAGGGTGGGGACCCAGTATTGACCTCATGGAACAGCCATCCTATAAGAGTCCGAGAGAATGAATCACAAAAGCTGTACTTACCTTACTCTCAATCCCAGAGGGTGAGGTCTGATATTTTCTCCTAATACTTGACAGAGACTCAGTCTCTAAATGGGTCCATCAAACCTCATAGGGGAGAGACCACTATGATTGTGGCTGGTTTCTAGATAAACCCACATCTGTGTGGTGTGGTTAGACTTACAGAATATGAGCTCAGCATGACCAGTAGAGAGTCTGCTCTCTGCTCCATCTGGCCCAGAGTGCATTCAGGATCTGGGGAAGGGCAGCTGGCAGGCAGCTCTTTACAGAGCTGTGTAAATGCTGAAATGGGAGAAGGACAATTACTATTTGGGCAAATAATTATGTATGCAGGAAAAGAGATGCTGAGCAGAAGAGAGAGAACACATGTAAGAAAACTTGGGTAACTTTTTCTCTAAGTCTGCCTTCCCCTGAGTAACTCTCTTCATCTACCCACCCATCCCTCCCTCCCTCAATTCTTCCCTCCCTCAGCTGTCAACTTAGGGATGTAGTGTCACATAGTGATAAAGACTACAGATGGTGCAGGCCAAGTGCCTGGATTCTCACCTTTTATTAACTGTGGCCTTTGACTGGTAGCTACTTGATCTTGCTAAGCTTTAGCTACTCCATCTGTGAAATGGAAGTCATACTAGAACCTGATTCTCAGTGTTATTGTGAAGATTACATTGGCTAATTTATGTAAAGTACTGATGGTACATGACATAGAATGCTCAGAAAATCATCTAGATATTGGAGGGACATACTGTGTTCATGGTTAGAAGACTCAATGTTGTCATCAGTTTTCCCTAAACTAATATTTAGATCAATGCTATCCCACATTCCAGAAGGTTTTTGGTTGTTTTGGGGGGAAGGGATTGTCAAACTGCTTCCAAATTTATATGGAAATGCAAAGGACCAAGAATACCTTAGGTGGACTACTTGCCATATTCTCTTCCCACCACAATGACAGGGATGTCCGTGATGGTGGAGGCTCTTTCAGACGTGGTTTCTGGAAGGACACCCAGTGGGCAGAACTTGCCCTGACATAAGACAGAGCTGCAGATGAAAGGCTGGTAGAGAGCTTGGCTCTAGAGCCGTGGAGAAACTGGCAGAAGACTGATTCCTCACTCTTTGCAGGATCTGCAGAGTTGAAAACAAAGCCCCTGAGAACTTACAGAGAAAAACTTGTACTGTTAGACACACTGAAATAAGGGGTTTCAAAATTTAAAGAATGTCTTTCCATGTTAGACAATAATGCTTTGTTCACTGCTAAATGCTAAGCATCTTTATGCTAAGCTGATGAATATAAGATAAGAGATAGGTTGGTTCATGAACATATATCAAAGTTCAAGAATAAAAAAAAGAACAAACTTCAGCAGCAAGGCGGAGCAGAAAGAAAAGTTGGGTGGCAGGAATCAGAAATATAGTTGAAAGAGAAAAGCAGTTAGCTGCTAAGTCAGCCAAAAGGACACGAAGGTGAACATTAGCATGTGTATGTGTTTCTTTTCCTGCCTAATATTCTCTGGATTTCAAATAGCATATGTGCTAGTCTGAAGTTAAGACAGTGTTGATAACCACTGTCAGGTTTTGCAATCCTTTTCCAGATCAGAGGTTGCTCTCTCTCGACATCTTCATTTCAGCCTTTCAAGATATCCTTTTTCTCTTCAGTAGAAGACAGAATATCACTTGGTTTTTATAGTATTTAAATATTTTTTCGATTTAATTTTAATTTTAAAATTCATTATTTGGGCTTGATGCACTTACAAACTGGAGAAGCATTTGATATTTTTAATGATAGCCTACAGATTAAAAATTAACATAACACTTTTTACTCAACAGATATAGATTTAAAAGTTTAAGTTTCTCATTTTATGAAATTACTTGCCCTTCTGGCAGTATGTGCTGATTTGGAATAACTGTCTTTTTCATTGCTCAGTTAAGAAGAAATTCATTTGCCTAACAGCATATGCCACTGGAAGCGAGTTAGTATAAGCCCTTGTGACTAATGTTATAGAAAAGTTTAAACACAGGAAATAACAGCATCTTTGACAGAGGATAATTGAGCACGATGGCAAATAACTTCCATTAGCCATCCATATAAACTGTCTACTTCCCGGAGTCTAAAATCCCACAGCACCTTCCTTGTTACTTTTAAGTTCTTGTGCAGCTGAGGCTGTAGAGCTATCACATTCAAATATGCTTTAATCTTTACAAGATTTAGTAATAGTTATATGAGATTTAGGAAGTATAGCAGTAAAGCAGATACGAAGATAATGAACCCAACTCTCTAACTGGAAGGGCTAATCACCAGCTGTCAATTCTCTGATTTGCTGTGTGGCTTTACGTGCAGTCATGTTTCCTTGTGCTTTTTAAAGAAGTCATGAAGTAGAATAATATATACCTAAATACATACTTTGTAGATAATTACAGACTTGATAGAAAATTAGTAAAGAGCATCTTCAAAAAAAAAAAAGTAGTGTGATACCTTTAGTATATTTTAGAGTGCTTTTTCAATATGTAGGAACTTATGTGAGAGAAATATTATGAAGTTTCACTGTTCTGTATAAAATCCAAAGTGTATGAAGTATTATCCAGTATCTAACTGGTCTCCAGTACCTCTTACATAGGGAATGTACTGAAATCTATGGAGGTATTGCATTAGAATATACATAATTCACATTACATTTATGTTAAGCTGTAATCGCTATCTTTGGTAGATAGGATAATGGTCCCCCCAAAATGTCCACAGCCTAATCCTCAGAACCAGTGAATGTGCTATCTTACATGGCAAAAAGGGACTCTGCAGATGTGATTAAGGATCTTGAGATGGGAAGATCATCCTGGATTATCTAGGTGGGCTCAATGTAATCACAGGGGTCTTATAAGAGGAAGGCAGGAGGATCAAAGTGAGAGGAGATGTGACAATATAAACAGGTCGATGTAATCTGGGACTACAAGCAAGGAATTTGGAGAGCCTCTAGAAACTGGAAAAATCAAGTACATGGCTTCTTCCCTAGAGCTTACACACCTTTGCTGATCCATCACAATTTAGACTTCTGTGATCACAACAGTTAAGACAACAAATCTGCGTTGTATTAAGCCACTAAGTTTGCGGTGATTTGTTACAGCAGCAGTAGGAAGCTAATACACTGTCTTTTGACTGTACGTGAGGCTAATGAATGAGAAAGCATTGGATGTGAGTGCTAAAAAGTGGTCTATTTAAAGGTTTAACTTGTTGAAAAGAATAAATGATCATTTATACTTCACCTGATTTTGACTTTAAGAACACTGGTTTCAAAGGCTAAGTTTTTATCTGAAACACTTGCTAAAACATTTGTCAGGGCAGCAGTCATTAAGACCTGCAGGACAATGTCACTTAAAGTGCTGGATTTAATTGTTAATAGCTTGATAGACACAATTCAGTATTTCTAAGAGTGGTTTTGCAGACTGTGATGACGCTAGGATAGTCCACGTGTTCACACCTGTGAGTGTGGGCGGAACCCACGACTTCTAACCTATAGAATATGGCAAAGGCTATGGGATGTCACTCATAAGATTATGTTACACTATATATATGATGTATGTGTGTATATATGTATATATACCTCACATATATATATAGTAACAAATCATGTGAGTGTATAAATACACATATACTATGCATATTTACTATATATAAGATGTGTATATATAAATATAGCATATATATGAATATTATGTGCATACATATATATGTGCATGTGTGTGTGTATGTGTGTGTAAATCAATCTTAGCAGACTGGTGCAAGACTCCCTAGCTGACTTTGTAGAATTTGCCATGTTGTGTGAGGGCCAGATGTCAAGGAACTGTGGGCAGCCGCTAGAAGCTGAGTGGTCTCCAGCTGACAGCCAGCAAAAATAGACCTCAGTCCTACAAGTGCAAGGAGATGAATTCTGCCAACAGTGACCCACCTGAGGAAGCTTGGTAGTGGATCTTTCCCCATCTGAGTCTCGGATGGCACTGCAGCCCCAGCTAACACGTGGACTGAAGCTAGGTCAGAACCCAGTAGAAGACTCATCAAACCTTGTCCAGGCCCTTGTCCCACAGGAACTATGAGATAATAAACAGGTGTTGGGTTAAGCTGCTAAATTTGTGATAACCTGTTTTGCAGCACAGAAAACGAGAACAGAGACCAACTGCAATAATGGTTTAGAATGCCAGTTTCTGCACCCCACCCCAAATCTGCTGAATCAAATCTCTGGGCATAAGGCTTGGGAACCTGATTTTTAAATAAGTACTCCAGGATTCTGATGTACCTAAGGACTGATCTAGGGGGCCATGTAAGTGGTTCTCAAACCAAGCAGCATCTCATTATTGCCTAGAGAGCTTTTTAAAAATATTGATACCCTGAGATTCTTATTCAACAGTTCAGAAGTGAGGTCCAAGAATCTGCATTTTTAAAGAGCTCACCAGGTACTTCTGATACAAGGAAGCACTAGATCTCAATTTATATTGTTATTTATAAGCAGTGAAATAATTGAAAAGTGCCCGGCATTTGGGATTGATTTTGTGAAATAAATTCCAAACTACTGATTTTACTATAAAGTCAGATTGAAGATTGAACTCTAGCAGGCAGAAAACAGTCACAGAATTCAGGTTCATTAACTGAAGTCTTATGATATCAAATCACATTTGCTGGATATATAGTAAGGCACATAGGTTTTCAGCACTACATTTTGTAAGGTTTGAAGACTTTTAAAAAATGTCAAAAAGTGCATACATATATATATGTATGACTTTTAAATAATGTCAAAAGTGCATACATACATATATATATTTTATATATATATGTAAAAGCATCCACTATTATAAAGTTTAATTATAAATCAAAAGTATTATTACCTTGGTATTAAAGTCCAAAACTTTGGCTGTATTTCAGTCACATGGGAGTTATCTTACTGATCAAACATGAATAGGAAGCATTTTAATCAATGTTGCTATATTTTGCAAAAAGCAGCAAATTGGTCTTTGGAAAATTTCAGTTTCTCAAACTATATTATATATGTTCTAAAGGTCATTTTAAACTAAAATGATGTGAATTTATTTTATATTTGCTGTAGGTCTCATGTAAATATGCAGGCATTGAACTAATATAGATCGTGTCAGCAGTGAATTTATGGATGTATACAGTTTACAAATTATGCCAATTATATACCCTTATACATTAGGCCACTTTTAAGCTTGCAAAATGACTACTTTTTATATTTTTTTGAAAAAGGCTTGATAAAAATACCTAAGGTCAAGAACAATACTGAGGATTTCTACTACCAGAAAAATAAAGACTTATTACAAAGCAACAGTAATTAAGGCAGCAAGATATTGATGAACAGGGACAGACTAATGGAAGAACAGAGTGTCCAGAAAATGACCCACATCTGTACAATCTGATTTATGACAAAGCTGACACTGCAGTGCAGTGGGGAAAGATGGTCTTTTTAATAGATGGTCCCGGGTCAACTTAGATAGCCTTGTGTGAAAAAATGAATCTTGACTCATATATCATACCATAAAAAAATTAATTTCAAATGAATAGTAGATATAAGTGAGAATAACGATATAGCTTTTAGAGGAAAATATAGGAGATTATCTTCCTGACTTTGGCGATTTTTCTGATTTTTAAAAAATTGAGATATAATTGACATATGACATATTAGTTTCAGGTATACAACAAAATGATTCGATATATGTACATATTGCATATAATCATCTCAATAAGTCTAGTTAATATCCATCACCATACAGTTATAATTTTTTCTTGTGATGAGAACTTTTAAGATCTACTCTCAGCAACTTTCAAATATACAATACAGTATTATTAACTATAGTCACCATGCTGTACATCACATTTCCAGGACTCATTTTATAACTGAGAGTTCGTACCTTTTGACCCCTTCACCCATTTCGCCCACCTTCATCCCCTGGGGTAGGCAAAGATTTTTTTAAACTGCACTTAAATAATACAACCATAAGGAAAAAGACAATAAATTGGAAAACATTAAAATGAACTTCTGTTCATCAAAACACATCATAAGGAGAGTGAAAAAGCGAACTTCTGAGAGAAGTTATTTTAAAAATATATATCCAATAAATATCTCATATTCAGAATACTTAAGAACCTTTACAAACTAGTAAGTAAAAGAGATAAAATCTATTAGAAAATGGGTAGAAGAATTGAACACTTTGTCGAAAAAACATCCAAATGGCCATTAGATATATGAATAGATGCACAGGTCATTAATCTTCAGAAAAATGCAAATTAAAACCTCGGTACACCACCACTACACACACACTGAGCAAAATGGCTACAGTGAAAGACAGTATCAAGTATTGGTAAGGATGTAGAGGTACAGGAACTCACACACTGTAAGTGAAAGTATAAATTGATACAACCAGTCAAAATATTGTTTGGCACCATATACTAAAGCCGAACATATACACATCCAGCAATTTTACTCTAGGAGCAAACCCAACAGAAATGCTTACGTATGTTCACCAAAAGACAAATACAAGAGTGCCTTTGCAGCACCATTTAAAATAACCCCAAATTGGAAACAACTGGTGTCCATCAATCCAAGAGTCCAATAGCATGTAGAAATAAATTGTGGCCTATCCATCCAATGCAACATTACACATCAATAAGAACATATGAATTACTGCTAAATACAACGTGGGTGGATCTCATGTGTTGAGTATAAAATGCCACACACAAAAAGTACATAAGATTCCGTGTATCAAAGTTCAAAACCAAGTAATACTATCTTATGATGTTGGAATCCAGTAGAGTAGTTACGCTTAGGTAAAGTCCTGATTTGAAGTGGGCATAAGAGGGCATCTGGAGAATTAGCAATGTTTTATTTATTCTGGTTGCACAGGAAATGTGAAAAATGGGTAAGTTGTACACTTATGATTTGTGCAATAAAAAGTTTAAAGAACAACTAGACGTGACTTCCTGTGACAGTCAGCCATTCCTGACCCTTGATGCCCTCTGGGTGAGGTGTGTCAGCTACAGAACTTCCCCTCTCTGAGCTGCATTTATCAGGGTCCTGTGGTGATTTCTAATTCACTCATCTGTCTCCAGGAGGAGAAGGACCGAGGACTGAACCTGGCCTGTTCACTCTAGCACTTCTCACGTTGCCCATCCCAGGTGGAATTGGTGAAATGTCTGTGGAAGGAATGCCTGACAAGTCATTACCCTAAGTAAAGCCAAGCTCTTCTGAAACGCATTCACAAAGGCCTTCGGGAGAGCAGAGAGAGAGGCAGTGAGCAGAGCAGAGAAGGCTGTGGGAGGCCGTGGAAGAAACAACCCTACCGAGCCAGGATCTCCCCCTACAACTCAAGGAGGGCTCCCTGCACCCGCTTCTTTGAGACAGGAAGGTGACAGCTGTCTCGGAGGACCTTTTCATTCTGTTTTCGTGCTCCGGGTGCCCGAGGTAGCAAGTAAAGCGGCAGGAAAGAGGGAGGTGGCGCATCGGCAGGTGTGCCCAGGGCTGGGCGGAGTGCGGGACTGAGGGCCCGACACAGGTCCTGCCAGACCCGAGGGCGCCCTTCCACCCTGGACCTCGCCCTCCCCGCTGCCCCGCGGGGCTCCACCGCTCCCCTTGCCTGCTCTGGGCGCTCACCTGCGCTGGGGCCGGGCCGCTCTGCGGAACGTGTGGGGCGGGCTAGGGCGCCGGGCGGGCGGTCGGGGCCGAGGGGAAGTGCGGCGCGTGTCGGGGCACTGCCCCCTTCCCCGGAAGCGCACGGGCCGCGCCCCGCCTTCTCCTGCGCTCCGCCTGGCGGCTCCGGTGGGTGCCAGAGTGGGGCAGTCCGAGGCCCGGACAGCCCGGCCTTCCCGGCCGCGGAGAGGGCCCTGTGTCTGCGGGCAGCAGCGGAGCTAGCACCAGGGCAGAAACTTGAAGAAGAGCCTTTGCCTCAGCCGGAACACCTGCAGTCTCCAGGGGAAGGAGAGTCCCGCTGCTTTTCCGGCTTTGCGCCTGGACCCTGTTGCTCACTCCACCCAGAGTGCCCTTCCCTTTCTCAGGTCTGTTCTCAACGCCTCGCTTCTGTCAAGGATCATCTTTGCAACTTATGCTGGAAAACCTTTCTTAACCCTCCCCACTTCCTTCTCCAAATGCCCGCACCGCTTAGCCCTTGCATTAGACTGAAGATTTCCTGAGGCCAGGGACCCATTTTCTGGTTCCAGACCGAGCAGAGAGGCACCCAGGTAAACAATGACTGGGCCGAGTACAGCAAAAGCACTGCCATAGCTCGGTGCTGGCGCAAAGGGGTAGAGGGCTTGGTCCCCAGACCCTCTTACAGTTTAATAGGGACACATGCAACGATGAGCGCTCTCCTAGAAGCCTGAATAAAGAAAGCCCTGTGGGAGCACAGAGGATCCGCTAATGCCTCCTAAGTTAAGTACTGTATTTGTTATCTGCAAGGAAGTAGCTTCTGGGTATGGAGCCAGATGAAGGCCTTTTTCCTCTGGCCCATAGATAGTGGTGTCTGTACTGAAGGGCAAGTGCGTATTGGGCACCTCACAGGGTTAACATGGGTGTCTGGTCCTCCCCGACCCCTATGCCCCTGACAAGTTCCTTTCTGCTTTTAAGCACCAAAATCCAGTTGCCCCTCTTTTCTGGCTCTGTCCCCCAACTCCTCCTCCCAGGGGCTTCGTATGTTACCTAACTGGCAGCATATCTGCCCTCTCCTCCCTCCCTCCCCCAGCTGATCATCAGTGAGACCTGTCTCCATCTTTTGTTTCATTCTCTCCAAAGGCTACTTGGGGGGGGGGGTGGTCATTTTACTGTCTCTATTCCCATTCACTTCTTCCTTCTGAACAGATGCCCACACCTCAGATCTGAGGTGCACTTCCTTCTGGAACGGCTCTCCCTGAGATTCCCCCTACCTACTTGGGCTGCATCCAGCCCCTGCTTGCATTTATACGATTGACCATCCCTGACCCAACACTCCCCTGGTTTTTTGCTTGCCTCTGGCCACCTCTTCAGCATCCTCCTCTTTAGTTCATCCCTTAAACACGGTGGGGTCCCTCCAACTTGCCCTCTTGGTCCCCTGCTCTTCTACCCTCTTCACCATCCTCTTCATTGGTGTCCACATCTCTGTCTCAGCCCAGATCATCCTGAGGCCACATTAAATTCAACCCCATTAGACATCTCTACAGGTGACTTACGAGAATTCTTAGCTCAACATGTCCTAAACCACACCACTCATTTTGTCTCTCACTAGTACTCCCTGGCCTTCTTCATTTCTGTGAAAGGCATGACACCCATTCAGTTGTCCAAACTAGAGATGGAAGTCTTACATGACCCCATTTCTTGTTGCTACTGTAGCCTCTTGGATCCCCCATTGTGTGGACTACATCGAGAGCCTCCTACCTGGCCTCTTGCTTTGACATTATTAATCTCTTCTCCACAAGGCAGGCAGGGTGATTTTTCTTAAAGGAAAATCTGATCATGTTGCTTCCCTCTTAAAAACCCTTCAGTGGCCCCTGCCCACAGAATGAAATCCAAGCGCCACAGCATGGCTCTTCAGTCCCAGGCCCCACTGTATCTCTTCTTTCACTCCATAATCTAGCAAGGACAAATCAATCATTTGTAGTCTCTTGAATCTTGCTACTTTTTGGTCCCAGGCCTTTGATTATGGTTTTCCGTCAGCCTGGAATCGCCCCCCTTCCCACTCTCTTCTCCTCTTCCCCCTGCATTCACTCTAAGCTGCTCATCCTTTAGGTGTTGCCTGCCGGTGTATCTCTATGTAGCACTGGACCTGGCCAAAAGTTGGAGCTGAATAAATAGTGAATAGAGGAATGGACACATTCCTTCGTTCTACAGCCATACCCCTGGCAGCAAGTCAGGATAAACAGGCACTAGCTTGCCAACAAGATGCCTACCACCTAGGATTTAAGAATGGTCCTGGGATGAGGAGGAGGCTGTGCTCCTTCCAGCCTGGTATCAAAGGCTAGTGGGGCGCTTCTAAAGCAACTGCCATGAGATGAAAACAAGAGGGGACAGAAGACTAGAAAGAACCTGTTAATCACATTTATTGATTGATAAATCTGGGCCAGGCTGCCCCAGAATGCTCCCTGCCTAGACTCTGCTGGGGTATGCCAAGAGGGGTAGAGGTGATTGTTCTGGGTCAGTACCAGGAAGGAGCCAGTCCTGGGCTATGGTGCTCAGGACCCGAGGTGTTCTGTCCAGCTGGACTACCTTGGTGGGTAGCATTAGCCTGGGCCACGGATCAGTCCTAGGGTCTTGCCCCATCAATCTCTGTTAGTCTGGGCCTCAGGTGAGAACTTCAAAGCCTGCAGTCCTCCTGCCTGCCCAGCCACATGGGGGCAGGATGACCTGGATGAGATGAGGGTGGTGGAAGAGAACTTGGCATGGTGCTAGGGAGGAGGATGTGAACATGGCCAAGATTTGAGTCAGGGGTAACAGATGGGGAAATAGGGCCAGTGAATTCAGAGCTTACGGGCTCAAAAGATATTACGCTCCTGGACCTTCTCTCCCAAGTAAAAGCGGCTGAAGAGGAAGGGGCTCAGATTGATGGTCTGGAAGTGACCCTCCAGTACCATCTCAGCCACAGCTCGCCCCACGGCGGGTGCCTGCTGGAGCCCATGGCCACTGAAGCCCGTGGCAAAGTACATGTTGACAACCAGTGGGTGAGGGCCCACCACACCATTCTGGTCAAAGGTGTTGTAGTCGTAATAGCCAGCCCAAGCTCTCCGAACCTGTGGGTACACAAGATGCTGGGGTTCCCAGGAAAGCTGCCAATATACTCCACCCTCACTCCTGGTTAGGCAACAGCACACAGTACCCTCTACCACCGCTGAAGGAGGTCGACGGGATGGGTCCTTAGACCAAGGGTCCTTAGTAGTTGTGAGGTAGAGGAAGAAAGGCAGTGGACAGGTTTTCCAAGGGGACCAAGATGCTCCAGTGTCATCTGTCTCCTAGTTACCTTCAAATTCTCAAAAGCTGGTACCCTCTGGGCCAACTGGGGCCACACCCTGTCCTGGAAGAAATCATGGTCCACTTCAAGGTTCCCTGGGTCCGGTTCCTCCTCCTGTGGTGAAACAAGGCTTATATTACCTGGGACACAAGGGCAGACCCAGACCTCACTGACCCCTTTAATCAATCCCCTCGGTAGGCAGGGGAGGGGGACAAAAGATTCCAATTCAGACCTAAAGGGAGGTGCAACATCAATAACAGTACTATGCCATCCCCAAAAGCCGGACTCTAATGATAACTGGTCTGTCTCCTTCCTAGCATCCTGACCCCACTTAGTGTACCTCAGTGGGGCTACGGCCACCCAAGTAGTTGTTGCCTAATCCTTCACGGCGGAAATAGACTCCACTGGTGTCTGCAATGAATGGAGTCTCCAGGCCTGGTCCCTCGGGAGAGTGCCATAAGTACACATACCTGCCATAAACAGTGGGGTTAGGAAGTGGCGTTAATAGCAAACCACCCCCCCCTCCACTTAACAACCTTTTATTTTATTTCCTTCCTTCTCTCACTAACCTCCTCAGCTGCCCTCAGGGAAGTCACCTTTTCCTTGGCTCCACAGGTAGCTTGGTGCCCTGCAGAGTGCCAGGTGGTCCCTTCCCAATACCAGCCAGCTCTGCGACTTGCCCAGACCAGGCTCCTGCTGCATTGATCACTATGGCACATTCCACAGGCTGGTACTCCAGGCTGTGGTCCATCTTCACCTGCAGGCACCAGAGGGGAAGGGGAGGGAGGGCCTGGCCCACACACTGGCCACCATGAAAGGTACATTTCTTCCTGAGCCTTAGTTTACCCATACTGGAAGTGGGTAGAAGTAGACCAAAATGACAGTCATTACCGTTCTCATCCCTCCACTCTGGTAAGGAAGATACTTAGGCTGGTAACTTACATGGACTTCATGGATCCTTTTCAAAGTCACCTCTTCTCCATTTGTGGTCTCCATGCGGTTAGATGAAGAGACAAAACCTACAGGAAAAAAATAAAATAAGCCTTGAAGACTTGAAGAGGAAGGAAATGAGGATTCCACTAGAAGGCTGGGAGCTTTCCCACGGACACTGACGCAAATAGAGATAGGGTGACTGGGATGAACTTGGCCACATTCAGGACAGGAAAGTGCTGTAATGTTCAAGCAGATCATGAGTCAGGAAAAGCCTAGTCAGGAGCTGGAGCCAGGATGCCTGGGACCAGCCCTCAGGGGAGAAGCCCCTTCCCTCACCAACCCTTGCTCAGCCTATGAGTAGAAGCAAGACATAGTTTGGGCCTGCACCCTGGCTGGCAGAGGAGATTAGCAGTAGGCATGGGGCCTCAGACTCACGTGTCACCTCTCCCTGGCAGAAAAGGACCCCCATGGACTGGACCTTTCGCCGAAGCCCCCAGAGTAGACTCCAAGGGTCAAACCAACCTTCGCCCTCCAACCCTGTGATGAGAAAAAGAGGACTCAAAGAGGGACTAGAACCTTCTCCTCCTATTGTATTTCCTGTACCCCCAACTCTTCTTTGGGCTCATAATGTGGAGAAAGTCAAATTAACCACTGTACGAGAGTCAAATCTTGTGGAAGGATGGAGAGCTGGCATGGCTCAGGGAGGCCCTGCTGGCTAGGAGGAGGGAAGCATTCATCCTTGACTTGGCTGTAGAGTGCTGAGAATTTGAATCTGATGTGCACCACAACCCTTGATCCCCTCTGCAAGCAAACCTCACCATAAGACGCCAAGGCCACGCCTTCTGTGTTTATCCAGGGAAACTTGTTCCGCAGCTGCTCAGGAGACATCAGACACACTTTGGCACCTTCCTGCCTGAGAGAAACGTGTGAGTCTTTGTGTTTTAGAGAGGGGGCAGTATGGACCCAACTCCATAAGTAGAGATTCTACCTCATTCATATTCCTTCTCTGCCGTAAATTCCCCAATTTTCTTTCCTTGCTAAAGAGTGGAGACCCTGCCTCCCAGTCAAGGCTCTTCAGCATCTGACCCCTCCTTCCTTTCCTACATGCCAATCTCTCTTTGGATGCACCTAACTCCTTACCATCCCCTACCTGTTCTAGGTCCTTTCACAACAGGACAGGTCACTCTGTTCCCTCCACTCCCACCTGAGAGAGCCTTCTTGCCCACTTCTTGGTACTGTCCTATGCAACAGCACAACCGCCTTCTTTGGGACACCGCTGCCCAAAGGCAGCAACGTAGGTGCTAAAGGAACACACTAGCAAGCCAGACTGCCTGGTTTGAACCCCACGCCATCACTTACTAGCTCCTTGTGCCTTAATTTCCCCACATGTAAAATGGAGATGTTCTGATAATTAAATGAGGCAATATCTGTAATTTAAGACATTACCTGATGTCACTAGTGAGACTTGGAAAAGTATTTGTTGAAGATACCTGCTCTTGACTGACCGTGAGAATCAGGGCAGGGTTGTCACATCCAGCCTACTGCCTATTTTTATACATGAGCCATACTCATTCATTTACATTTTTGTTTATCACTGCTTTTGTGCTTCAACTGTGAGTTGAGTGATTGCAACAGAGACTTTATGGCCCTCAAAGCCTAAAATACTATCTGGCTCTCAGAGGAAATGCCTGCAGATTCCTGGGTCCCTCCCTAGGGATTCAGATTTATTAGGTCTGGAATATGTCCTGGATGGTTCTTATCAACTGGCAATTTAGGACCCACCACAGGAGAACTTAGTCTGTATCTGGATCATAGCATTTAGCACAGGATATTGAAGGTCTGCATGTGCCTGCCTTTCCTGATAGACTGAGCTCCCAGAGAGCAGGGAGCTGTCTTATCAGCTCCATCATCCCAGCGCTGACTTGGTATAGGAGCTTACTGTGTGCATGCAGCTAAGAAGCAGTTCAGAGGCCATGTCGGCCACCCACCTCTGCATTTTCACATTGTTCTCCATGATCGCAGCACCCTTTTCTGAAGCCAGCAAGAGATAACCTGAGGGGTTGAATCTGGGGTCCAGGGGAGGGTCATCGACTACAGCGAGGTAATCCTGTGTGTAAAAAAAGCTCCTCAAACAAGCTGCTTTCAAGAAGTGAGGGAGAGCATTCCTGGTTTCCTCATCTACAGCTCAGGGCCCTCCTCAGGCATCACCACTAAGAAGAAAACCAGGGGCTCTGACTCCTATTAGCCTGAACTATTCCCGCTCCGTTAATCCTAGCCAGCTGGGCTGTTTGTTCCTTTTGGCTAAAGCAGGGGTCACCACCCCAAACCCCAAATCTCACTGCACGTACGTTGATGTTCCGTAGAAAGTCGACTGAAAATAGGGAGAGCTGGACGTTCACGGGCAATGAGAACTGCTGACGAATCCCACCCACGGAAAGCCCAGTGGAGGCCCGGGAATACTGTAGGAAGACAAGGGAAGTTGAGGTAGACCAGTACCCTGCCACACATGAGCAGAACACTGTCATGGAAGCTGTGAGTCATGTATCTAAAGTTAAAGGGCAGTCCTACTTGCAGGTTTATAGTCTAAGAGGAGCTGACGTGGATAAACCTGTATGCAAGTCAACCATCAGCCCAGACAAGGTGATAGTTACTAAAGTCCTCATTAACAGATGTGCAGAGCAGAGAAGGTCAGTCATTGAAAAAGGGCTGGGCACAGTTGTACAAAATAGTAATAGCCTGGAGGTCCAAGGACAGGAGATTAATATTTGATCTACTAATTGGGAAATAGAGGGATGTGGCCAAAGTAACGAGATTTGTGGCTAGCTGGCAGTGGTAAATAGGAACGCCTAAGTGCAAAACCTCAGAAGTAATGGAACCTAAAAGGGGGTTGAGATAGCCATTTGTGTTAATAACTTGAATGCAGACTCTCTTGTCCAGACCTGTAAAATCTCAAAACATTGTGAAATTTGCTTTTAAAAGCGAAAACCTTATTGCCTGGGTCACTAGTTTGAGAAGGGTAGAACCTTGGACTATTTCTCAACAAGGTCCAAAGCACAGTCCCAGCCCTTTGGATCTTTAGATTGACGTCTTTGCTCTCTTTCTCTTCCTTTGTCCCTAGAGTCCTTAGTAAAATCCGAGTCCAAGCCCCACTCATGACTCTGTCCTACCCCAGACCTCACCGTGTGGTCCCGTTCCACTACCAGCACCTGAATGGCACCTCGTTGCTTCTCCAACTTCTTCAGCCAATAGGCCACGGACAGGCCAAGCACTCCACCTCCCACAATCACCACATCTGAGTGTTCAGGGGGTAGGTGGCTGGTGTCATACAGTGGATTCCAGGCCCCTCCAGGAAGGACTGACTGGATCTTCTTTTTAATCTCGGACATCTTTCCAGCCCAGTCTGTGGGATGTAGTTATGGTTAAAGAAGGCCATACATTTCCTTTCCAGGGGGTTAGGGGTTAGGGGTTAGGGGATGGGCACAGGAAAAGGTGGGCTAAATTGACACAGAGTTGGCAGTCTCTATTGTCATGCCCTCTCATAAGGTCAACTTGCACCTAGCAGTATTTCCACAGCTTTGCTATATGGTCTCTCTTTGCTATATTAGTCTCTCTTCATTCATCATGCCCAGCACTAAAAGAATCAATTTCCTAAAATTAACACTCTATACTCTCTCCCTAGGATGGGTGACTTACACATACTTATCCTCTGTGCAGACCTCTCTCTCCTCTGAGTGCCAGGCCCAGTCTGTGGGATGTAGTTATGGTTAAAGAAGGCCATACATTTCCTTTCCAGGGGGTTAGGGGTTAGGGGTTAGGGGATGGGTACAGGAAAAGGTGGGCTAAATTGACACAGAGTTGGCAGTCTCTATTGTCATGCCCTCTCATAAGGTCAACTTGCACCTAGCAGTATTCCACAGCTTTGCTATATGGTCTCTCTTTGCTATATTAGTCTCTCTTCATTCATCATGCCCAGCACTAAAAGAATCAATTTCCTAAAATTAACACTCTATACTCTCTCCCTAGGATGGGTGACTTACACATACTTATCCTCTGTGCAGACCTCTCTCTCCTCTGAGTCCCAGGCTGCATTACTGCATTACTGCATTGTTATCTCCACTTGGATGTCCCAGCATGGTACCTGTGAGTGGCACTTTATCCTGCGTACCTATCACCACTAGCAAACCTACAATAATTTCCTATCTATTAACAAGTCCTGATGACATTGCCTCCCAAATAATTCTCCAATCTTTCGCCTTTTTTTCATCTCTGCCACTACTGCCCTAGACCAAACCACCATAATCTCTCATCTAGACTAATGCAAAAGCCTTCTAACTGTTCCCACTAAGTCCTCTCTTGCCAACACCCAAATTTCTTTCTACATCACGGCTACAAGAATCTTTTCTAAACACTAATCACACACCTTCTTACTGAACCCCCTCCAATGGCTTTCCGTTACTCTAAGGGTAAAAGTTCAAAATCTTTAATGTGGCCCTTGAGACAAATAAGGATCTGGCTCCTGTTTACCTTGTCCTTCCCCCCACACTCCAGCCCCTTTTGTTTACTTAATGGCACGTCTTCCCAATACAGGGAATCTACGCGGGTGTTCTCTCTGCTTTAAAACTGTGCCCATTTTTTTTTGCTTCCTTTAGACCTCAGCTATCATTTACTCAGAGCATTAGAATCTTTCTTTGTTCTGGGCTTACCTTACATGTCCACACTACATTTCATACTACTCCTCAAAGTCCAGATGGCTTAGGCTAGTTTTATTTTTTTTGCATAAGAACAATATTTTTCTCCTCTTAACCTTTGCTTAGTTTTCCAGAACCTAGCACACACACCTTCCCGGAGCCAGTAAACATCCTTCAAGGCTGATCTCAGTTCCCACTTGCTCCATGTACTTCTACAATGATACTAGCTTCAGGGACTAGCAGTGCCAAGCATTCTCCAAGTTCGGTTCTATCCAGTCTTGAACTAGTCTACTGAAGTCTTTCCTCTCCAGCTTCACTCAGGCACTTTCAGGACATATATTGAATCCTCTCTTCCTCTTCTTCCCTCCTTCGCGGCCACCAACACTAAGCGCAGCATCTGAGCAGATCTTAATGCACACCTGTGCAGCCAGTGAATAACCCGGCTCTGTTATTCTGGCTGTAAACTGAGGCATAGAGCGACCTAGAATTTGTCACCTGAGAAAGGCAACCTTAGGATCCAGACACCTGTCCAGGCTCTGTAAACTCTGGCGGGCAAGCTTATCCCTTCTCTCAGCTATCCCTGTCTTCCCAGCGTAGGCCGAGGTCTCAAGTCCTGGGGTCACATAGCCAGAGATTGGGGGCAACCCACAACCCCGATACCCTCAGGTGCCCTCAGCTTTACCCAGAGTCGAGCTTCTTCTGCGTGTGCTTAGCTCCCGGCCCAAGAGGCCGCAAAGCAGGCGGAGTCGCAGAAGCCCTCGAAGCATGGCCATTCTGACACTGATGCCTCTGCGCGCCAGCCGCTAACTCCGGCACTGCTCCTCGCCGCCTGCTGTCCATTGGCCAGCGGCCTTCCCGGGCTCCGCCCCCTCCACGATATAGGCCGCCTTCTCCTGTGACCTCCCGAGAGCCCCGCCCATGCCCGCCCCCACCCGCCATTGGCTAGCCTGCGTCTACGTAGGTTCTACGCGCCCTCGGGCGGAGTCGGGGAGGGAACCAGCGGCTCTGAGCGGAAGTGTTGCTGAGCCGGTTTCCGGTGCCGCTGGTGTGACGTGTCCCGCGCTTGGCGCAGTAGGAAGCCGCGGCTTTCGCGGCCTCAGTTCCCGGTGCCGCCCCGGCTCCTCTGCCGCTGCCACCATGCTCGACTTCTTCACCATTTTCTCCAAGGGTGGGCTTGTGCTCTGGTGCTTCCAAGGCGTGAGCGACTCCTGCACCGGGCCCGTCAACGCGTTGATTCGTTCCGTGCTGCTGCAGGTACCGTCCCCACGGGGTCAGAACTCCGCGCTCTTCCCCCCGATCCGATCCAGAGCCCCCCTCGACCGATCCTGCCCTCGCACCCACCCCGTCCGCCCCCTCAGACTGGCCGCTCGGTGGTAGCCGGGACTCTACTTCTTTCCTCGGTCCCGGTCAGACTGTCCGGCAACTTGGCGCCTCCCCTTCCCCCTCCGCTTTCTGGGACTCTAGCCGGATTCCGCCTCTTAAGGCTTTCCATTGTTCCCTCTATTCGCCCCTGGCAGCTTGGTTTTTCTCTTGTTTCGAAGCCTGGGTGAGAGAGTGAATAGAAAAATGCTTTCTCAAAATGTAAATAGTGTACAGCTGCTAGTAGACCCGATTGTTTATATGACGACTACTTCCCTTTTGGCTCCCACGTGTCTTGCTCACCCTCGAATCTCTACCCCCACCAATTTGGTATCTCCTTTTCTCCCTGGTGTAATGCTAGAGAGCAGTACTCCAACATACTCTTGTCCTGGGACGTTTGTCTTTGGGAGAATGTTTGGTTCTTTCGCAAAGGTAATCGTGGAGGCGCCCAAGTATGGGTTTTCTGGAGATAGTCTGAACTCTGAGATATACTGTCTTTCCAGGAAAGGGGAGGCAACAATTCCTTCACCCATGAGGCGCTCACACTCAAGTATAAACTGGACAACCAGTTTGAGCTGGTGTTTGTGGTAAGTGGAAGTATTTTAGAGGGATGATTACATCCTCAACATAGTCCTGGTTATTAGGAGAACTCTGATTAATTACATAAGGTGTTATATGATGAAGTAATTGAGAAGACAGAGAGGGTGATGGGTAAAGGGAAGACGCTTCTGGGCCCGGTCAGAGATTGGCTAACCCTCACAGCAGGGAAACCTGCCAGGCAGATGATCCAGTCTCTAGACACCTGGGTTGAGTTGGCATCTCTCTTTTCTGGGCTGGCATGTAAGTGGATCTGTTGGCTCTGTTTCTCCTCTAAACAGGTTGGTTTTCAGAAGATCCTAACACTGACGTATGTAGACAAATTGATAGATGATGTGCACCGGCTGTTTCGGGACAAGTACCGCACAGAAATCCAACAGCAAAGTGCTTTAAGTCTATTGAATGGCACTTTCGATTTCCAAAATGACTTTCTGCGGCTCCTTCGGTGAGAAGCCTCCCTTCTCCAAAATCAATTTTCATGACTTCATGAGCTCCCTTTCTTCCTGAGGGCAGTACAAGAATAGTAAATTATACATTGAAAGACAGTTCTACATTTGTGCGCAGTTCCAGATACTCTTCTTGGTGTGAGGACAACCCTTTCTCTGGATTTTAACCATTCTCGTTCTCTTAGTGAAGCAGAGGAGAGCAGTAAGATCCGCGCTCCCACTACCATGAAGAAATTTGAAGATTCTGAAAAGGCCAAGAAACCTGTGAGGTCCATGATTGAGACACGGGGTGAAAAGCCTAAGGAAAAAGCAAAGAACAACAAAAAAAAGGGGGCCAAGAAGGAAGGTGAGTTTGAGCTCCTTGGAACTAAAAACTAAGTGGTTTTCTGTCCTTCCCTTTGTCAGTGCGTGCCTACCCTGTGCAAATGCCCACCACCCTATCATCCCCGGTCCTTGTGATGCCCAAGATGTTTGCTCCTAGTTTAAGGATTTGGAAGACTTTTCCCATTGTCTATTTTGTTGGAATCTGGTCCTTTTTCTCCAGAGAGTTTTCTCCTAACAGGTTTTGATGGCCCTTTGGCTACCAGCAAAGCAGTCCCTGCAGAAAAGTCAGTGGCACCTGAGAATGGAGTAGAACTTTCCAAAGAAGAGCTGATACGCAGGAAGCGAGAGGAGTTCATTCAGAAGCATGGGAAGGGTATGGATAAGTCCAGGTGAGCAATCTAACCTCCATACTGTTATCTATGTTGTAGGCAAGGGAGTTCGTGTCTCTGGCTCTTGGGTGGATGTTTCCTCTCTTGTTTCTCCTCCATCACCCTCTGTGCTGTAACTCTTTGCAGCAAGTCCACAAAGTCAGATGCTCCAAAAGAGAAGGGCAAAAAAGCGCCCCGGGTGTGGGCATTGGGTGGCTGTGCTAACAAGGAAGACTTGGATTATAGCCCTCCTACCACCAATGGAGCCCCAGAAGTTGCCCCGCCTGAGGACATCAACTTGGTAAGAGACAACAGGGGCCAGAGTGAATGTCCCGTCGAAAAGAAATTGGGGAGGAAGTAGATACTAGTAGAGTAGTACCTTTGAATTGACCGAGGGGATTTGTTACATTTCGAGCTTCCCAAATCAAAGAGACAGAGCAATGTAGATGGTAAATCCTGGGCTTCCTCCCTGCCCCTCAGAGCCCTTAGTATTCCTAATTCCATCTCCTTCCTTTCCCCATACTCTGCAGATTCGAGGGACTGGGCCAGGGGGGCAGCTTCAGGATCTGGACTGCAGCAGCTCAGATGATGAAGGGGCCGTTCAAAACTCTACCAAACCTAGGTAAGGGAATTTCAGGTGGCAGGTAGTATGTGTGGCTCCAGATTGGATGAGATTTGACTCCTGCCCACTGGCTTTATGTGTATCTGAACACTCTTGTGCCTGCAGTGCTACCAAGGGGACTCTGGGTGGCATGTTTGGGATGCTGAAGGGCCTTGTGGGTTCCAAGAGCTTGAGTCGTGAAGACATGGAATCTGTGCTGGACAAGATGCGTGATCATCTCATTGGTAAGTTATAAGGAATAGGTGGACTCATATTTATGGCGTAGGAATGGTGGAGAGTAGAACCTACAATTGCTCAGCTATATCATCAAGGTTGTTGACTGTTGACATGGCACTCACACTACACCTGTCCCACTCTCTCCTCAGCTAAGAATGTGGCAGCAGACATTGCAGTCCAGCTGTGTGAATCTGTGGCCAACAAATTGGAAGGGAAGGTGATGGGGACGTTCAGCAGTAAGTATCTCCCTAAACCTGAGAGTGTTTAGGGCATTATGTGTACCAGGAGGTCAGGTCCATTGACCGCCATTTTTAACTAGGTGTGTGACTTGGTAAATTCCTTTATCTCTAAACCCCTATCATGTAACTTAGACTCTAAGAGTTAGGAGGATTAAATGGGTCAATACTTATAAAATGTGTAGGACAGTATCAGATACAGTGTGGATCCCTGGGGCAAGATCCTAGTATCATCCAGATCCTAGTTCCCTTAGCTCAGAAAGGTGTCAGGCATTGTTGGAGTACATTCATTGGGTTTCATGGATGCTCCTTCTCCGAATCAGCGGTAACTTCTACAGTAAAGCAAGCTCTACAAGAATCCCTGGTGCAGATTCTACAGC